TAAATACTGGTGAATCATACGGAATCCCCCACCCCCACCCATCCTGTAGGTATTGCTACATTTGTTAAATGAAAGATTCTAGAGAGAGAGAGAGAGAGAGAGAGAGAGAGAGAGAGAGAGAGAAACAGTCTGTGAAGCATCTGAAATTGTGGATAAAAAAGAAAAGAAAATGGTTTGTCTTGTTTTAAAGATGAAGGGAGAAGAATGGGCTAATTGTTTTGGTGACATAKAAGAAAAGCTTTCATACAGTGTGCATACATGGGAAAAATGACATTAATCAAGCTGAAGCAAGAATAAGTAGTAAAATATAGAGTTTTTGGTTAAAAATGGCTTCAGTCTTAAAACAGAACAGTTGGTGAGTTACATYATTATTATCTAAGCCTATAGACAGTGGAAGAATTGTAGGAAATAGGTGTTCCTGTAAATGAGTCTTAATTTGCCATTCAAATGTCTCTTTCCTAACATTTTCACATATCCTCACCAGCTTACAGCACTGCCATAAAAAAAGAAAAGAAAGAAACTGATGCTCCATACAGGGCTCATATTGTGCAAATCACCAAAAGGAAAATCTTAAAAAAAAGAAATACAAATCTTTGGTTTGCACAAGTTAATCCAGTTTGCAGCAATCTCATTAACGTTTGTGTTAAGAAACAGCACATCCTTGCTTGAATGAGCTAAAAGGATTATTAGAAATGGAGATTTGTTTTAACTAAACAAAAGTTATAAATCGAAGGTGATTGCTACCGACCTGTCTATGACGACCCAAAATAATCACAGTATACTAAAAAAAGACCAGAAATCTTGTAAATTTTAAACCATTGTTTCTTATAATATGTTTTAATTTAGACACAACAGGCAAATTAAGATTTAAGTTTCAGTTTCTGCACTCTGATTACCTGGTTTAGTTTGACCATATAAACGTTCATGTTTAAATATAATACACATTGTGTAAAAACGTTAACTATTTTGCATACCTTTTCATATAACTCCCTATTCCTGTCTTTCTTTTGACAGTTTAGATCTGCAGAGGGATTATTACACATAACTTGTTTTATACTGAAAAAACCTTAGTAGGTTAAAAAAAGTACTTTTATACAGTTTTTTTTAATAAACTCCCAAAAAAATCTGACTATGCAAGACTTAAACACCAATCACTCATTTAATTATGACCACTTGCCTAATATACAGTATATTGGACTTGGATGAAGAACATTAAAGTGTCTAATTTGGGAAAGTTAGCAACAACTCCTTTGGAGCTTTTTTTACAACTCACTTATGACCTGCTGTTACCATTCAAGGGGGTGTAAATGTTTTTGTTTTTATTTGTAAAAAGTTGTACGACTTCATCTGGTTGGAGGTTTTCTAACAAACCATTATTGCAACAAGATGAACAGTATTAATGTGGGTGATCAGTGAAAATAGAACAAATAGTTTGGTGACATTAAAAATGTTATTTTTTTAAAGAATTATCTATTTTATAGAAATGATTGTAAAACCTATTCTGATAACTTTTTATAATACATTTATATTTTTAAATATAACACAAGATTTCTGAAAGTTGCTTAATAAACACAAATGATTGATCACTAAAGTTTGTTTTGTCTCTGTAAAACTAAGAATTCCTTTAAGGTAGTATTTCACTGGGTTTTAAACCAAACCAATGATTGGGTTGAGTTTTCAATGTTTAAAATATTTGTGAGACAAATTCTCTCTCCAAAATAATTACTGTGTTGCTGTGAGTGTCATGAACTCACTGGAGGTTTGCTCTGAGCATTTTCACAGCAGACACATTATGACGCCTGCAGGAAACTCTAAACTGACAGAAAACATTTGAGGCTAATGTCCGTGTCTAAAAACAACACAGATCACAAATAATCTTTTTGGAAAATGAGTCTAAATGTGCGTATCTGCATATCAGAAACTACTCCGGTAGATTAAATCGTAAACATGGGGGAAGTTGCTGGGCACAATGCGAGTCAGGGCAGGTATTATGTGGGGAACAAACAATGTGCGTGGCCTAAAATACAGTTTTTCAAGYCAAGCACATAAACAATAACCCAGCCACATTGCTTGTTGGTCTCTTTGTCGAAAGACTGCAATGAAAAATGTTTTCTGTCATTGTTGCAGCCCAGTGAGATACTACCCTTAGTCCTTTAGTGGGGTAAGTTTTAGGACCATGCCTGTCATTTTGCCCTTTTTATTTCTTATTTTCTTCACAAATAATCACTGAACATTGTCTTCAATGTCTGGAGTTACTTTGTATTTAGCTCCAAATGTGCACCTTTTGTATTACTTGCATAATTTTTTTATTATACATGTTGTTTTGTTGTTGTTTTCTTTCAAGCATAGCTGAATAGTCTGAGTAACTGAAAAGAAATAAATGAAAATACGCTGCACTAAAGATACAATATAGSAGTAGGTATAGTAGAGATGCCTTCTGAAATGCTACAGATCTCTTACCAGCCGTTACGAGAAGAATAGCAGGACTTTGTGCACAGTGTTGGGAAGATTTTCAGGCTTGGTTAACTATTTTTACTACTGCTGACCAGAAACAGAGTTTTCCTCACACTGCAACTAACTAAATCCTGCATATTGTTTTTTTTTTTTATTCCAAACATTGATGCTTGCATTGTTATTTTTCTGAGGATTTGCACAAACAGAGCTCTAAACAGAGGCAGAATTCCTGTGGCTGATATCTGGACTGTTTACAGAAAATAAAACAAACAAACAAAACAAAAAAACCAACATCATTTGATCACAGCTTTGATTATTTGGAGTCTGACTGTTGCACTGTAGTGCAAGAAAAGGAAAGACAACAAAATGGCTGCTTTGATTGACTCGATCTCTTGAACTTTTATGTAAAATTGAAGCAGAATGTGTTGAAATCATAGGGGAAAATGACCAAAAATTGAGATACAGACTGAAAGGAAATTATCATAACTACTAGTAGCAAAGGAGGTATTATGTAACACATAATGTGTATTCAAATTCCATTCAGTAAAGTGGTTATTTTTGGAACAACTCGAGTCTAAATGCAACCTTTCTGTACAAAGAATCAGATGTGTTCTAGCAACAGCTTAAACCCAGACCCACTGCCAAGTAGATCAGACATATTTAAGAGTACTACCTACTATAAATATCAGCATATTAAAATAACGAAACTAAAAGCCAGCTGAAGTAGGTTGGTACAGAGAGTGGATTCAAATCCGAATGTTCCCTGGCTGTTACAGAGTCGCAGCCTTACTTTTTGTTACATAAGTTAGATTAGAATTAAATAATTGTACAAATAAAGCAGAAATTTTGAAGTTAGGTTCTGTCATGTAGACAGAAAACATAATTTAGGAAACAAAATCTGCATTTTTTTAAATGTATCCCTACATTGAAAACCCATAAACAAAAACAGCTGCTAACCACACTGCATTGGTTTAACTATGGAAACATCTAAAGTGACTGAATATAGGTCAACAACAGAGACGTCCGTTGGCGTGTCGTAATTGTGGGTTTAAAATTTTCAAAAGCATTTTTTTTTCTTCAAATTCTTGTCGTCTATAACTGGAAGCACATCAAAGCCTTTAATCTTATATTGAAACACAGCAACAACTCAACACTAAGATTAACTCAGGCATCCTAATTCAATGCAAAACAAACAAGCTCTCAACAGCTTGTGCATTGAGTAAACAAAGGCAATAAGCAGCCGTGAGTTCTGTGCCGCACAGTTGAGCCCTCCTGTGCACAAAGGGCATTTTCATAACAGTGCAACTGATACAGCCAAGGATTTGTGCAGCGTTCCAGCAGTATTAACAAACCCAGACTGAGGAAATTGTGTCACTGAGGGGCAATTCCTGCTAATAAAAATAAGAAAACAAGTTTTATAAAAGACTGAATGTTCTGTTTTTATGTCCAGCAGGGAAACGTCTGCAGGTTTAGAGACATTAATACATGAGCGTAATCAATACTTGTGGTTATTTTGTCTCTTCAGCTCATTATTTTTATGGGATCTGCGACTGAGATGTTGAAGAGAGCAGAACTGTTCAGCTGCTTCATCATTGCTTATATAAGTACATCTTACTCCTTAAGCCTATCTAGCTCTACTTCAGGTCTACTCCTGCTGCACCTCTCAGACAGCTTCTCTAAAGAGCCTTTAAATTGTACTAAAATATTTCATTACAAAACAACCTGTTTTAGGAAGAAAAAAACACAAAAAAAAACCTTATTGTCATATCAGATAAAACAGTGACATGCGTTTCTGCGATTCTGACTGAAGCTCATCACGTGATTTTGATTCCAACGAAAATGGCTCCTCTGCAAAGACTAACATATGGAAGAATCAGCTGAGTAGGTTCTGAAGCCTACTCAGCTTCTGAAGGGTCTGACGGGTCGAAGACCCGTCAGACCCTTCAGAAGCTGTTTCCTGTAAAGCAAAAAAGGCTTCTCCCTTCTCCCACCCTTCCAGTTTCCTTACAGCGCCTGATTACTGCGGCTGTTCTTCATGTTCACACTGTCCTCAACACCGATCTGGATCTCTGAGGCCATAAAAGGGGAGTCCAAACAACACCTGTTAGGCAGTGTGTTCTGGTTTAGGTGACGACACAAATACTAGATTGTGATCAGAAAGCTTTTCTCTGAACTATACGTCCTGCTGAGAGACTGCATCACTTTTTGCTTTGTATAAAGTGCTTAAACCAATTATTCTGTCTTCTTTTTGTGCCACAAGTGAGCGGTGATGACATGTTCAAAAGACTTTGACTGCCCTTTTAATTATTTTAGACAGCAGCTTTGTATACTCCCAAATCTAACCTAGGTAACAGGGGTGTCGCTAGGTTTTAAGGACAACGGGGGCTTAGCCCCCAGGAGATGCACAGAATTTTTATTTACTAAATTTGTATAGTGTGTGTGTCTCTCTCTCTCTCTCTCTCTCTCTCTCTCTCTCTCTCTCTCTCTCTCTCTCTCTCTCTGTGTG